AGGCTTCCCTTGGGGCTCCCCTGGGGGCTCCCTGGGGCCCCCGGGGGGCCCCCAGGGGGCCCCCAAGTGGTCGTTTGGGTACTTACTTCTCTGGAAGCTGCGGTGTAGACGCTGATGGTATTATCCACATGTGCGAACTTGAGGGGTTGGAAGCCAGGGTGGGGAAAAGGTGCGGGGCCGGGGGCCCCCGGGGCCCCGGGGGCCCCCAGGGGCCCCGGGGGCCCCGGGGCTCCCCTGGGGAGGGCGACAAAAAGGGTACTTTGGGCAGAGGCCTCGAAGCGGAGGGGAGGGCTGGGGCCCCCCCTGGGGGCCCTCAGCAGCAGCAGCCCGCGATATAATGCAGGAACATCAGCAAGGAAGTGTTGAGAAGAATCTGAAAAGGCCAACTGGCCATCTTCGAGGGAGGCCCTGAGGGTACAGCAGCTGCAGCTGCAGCAGGAGGGGCCCCCGGGCTGCTGCTGCATGCACTTACAAGTCAAAGGGCCCCCCCGGGAGGCCCCCCAGCTTCAGCAGCGGCGGAGAAGCACTTTGGAAAAAGTTTGCTGCTGGGATTGGCTGCTCGGGCACAGTCGCAGAAGTCCACCCCAGCATCATGCGCGCCTGCGAAACCACGAATTAGGGTTTAGGGTTTAGCGGTTAGGGTTTTGCGTTTAGAGTTTGGCGCTAAGTGTCCAGCTTTGGGGTTTACGGTTTTGTGCTTTGTGTTCAGGCTCTAGGGTTTAGTGCCTGGTGTTCAGGGTTTAGGGTTTAGGGTTTAGGGTTTAGGGTTTAGGGTTTCAAGTCGGACAGAGTCAGGGTTTTTGAATTTGTGGGAGGCGAGGTGGAAGTATTCAACTTTGAGTCGGTATTTGTGTCCCGCTTTCAATTCCTGTTTCGAAAAGCATTTTGAAATAAAAAATGAAGTAAATCCAAAATAAAATGAAATAAAATAAAATAAAATAAAATAAAATAAAGTAAAACAGAATAAAATAACAACTCTTTCTTCACCTGGGGACTTGAAAATACTTTGGTGACCCCGGTGAAGCTAGCGGGCGGCAGCGGCAGCAGCAACTTCTCCGGCTCCGCCGCTGCTGCTGCTGCTGCTGCTGCTGCTGGCTGGGGAATTGGCATGCGATCCACCAGAATTGGAGAGTCCTCCAGGAAGACTCTGGCCCCGCAGTCGGCAACTGTGAAAATTCGAAAAGTTTCCGAAACTTGAGTTTGCAAAAACCCCTCCCATCGAACAGAAAAGGCTTCCAGGGGGGCCCCCAGGGGGGCCCCCTGGGGGGCCCCCCAAAAAGGGTTCAGTCCCTGGGCCTTGAAGTCAATAAGGGGGAAGTCCTGGAAGCCCGCGGGGGGCCCCCCGAAGGCTGCGTTGCTGTAGATCGTGGCCCGCAGCCCGTCGGGCCCTGGCTGCAGCAGCAAACTTGCATGCAGCAGCAGCAGCAGCAGCAGCAGCAAGGTGAACCCGGCTTACTTCCTCTTCGTACCCTCGCAGCGCTGCAGGCAGCAAAGTGGGACTTGGCCAAAAATTCAAAAGAAAATTCAAATTCACCTCCGCAGGAAAGCTTGCTGCTGCTGCTGCTGCCAGCAGACTCGTCTCTTGCTGCTGCTGCTGCTAAGTTCGAACTCATCCCCTGCAGCAGCTGCAGCTTCGAAAGTTCTCCCCGAAGCTCCTCGAGGGCCCTGGGGGCCCCCCCGAGAATTTCTTGAACACTTTGCATGCGCTCAGCAGCAGCAGAGGCTGCGACGCAGAGCTGCGCGTGGCGCTGCAGCAGCAAACGCTGCTGCTGCTGCGGCAAATCCCACTTACCTGCTCGTGCTTCCGCAGCGTCGCCCGCAGCCGCCTGCAGCAGCAGCAGCAGCAGGTGAGTGCAGCAGCGGGGCTGGGGTGTATCGACAGCTCTCACTCTTCCTGGGCCCGAAAAAATGCAGCAGCGATCTTCATTTCTTCGGTTTTCTTTCTTGCAATGTCTCTGAAAAAAGAGTCAGCAGCAGCAGCTTCCTCAGCAGCTCTTTTGCAGAGTTACCGAAAGGCCACGCGCACAGCCTCGTAGTTGATGACTTCTGAAGTTTTGGCAGCGAAAATTCATGACAGTGCTGCTGCTAAGCAGCAGCAGCAGCAGCAGCAGCAGCAGAAAGTGCTGCTTCTAAGCGCCCCAGGCTCCCCCACCTTGGCAGTAGTCCCAGTCGCGGGCGCCTTTGCCCAAAAGTTGAACTTCTACGTAGCACCACTCCCGGCCTGTGCGGGTTTCGTTCATGAGCCACGAGCAGCAGCAGCCGCAGCAGCAGCAACAGCAGCAGCAGCCGCAGCAACAGCAGCAGCAGCAGCAGCAGGAAACCGCTTGAGAAACACACCCGAAACGCCCTCGGGGTTCCGCACTGCCGTGCAGTCCGTGTAAGTCCGGCCGTCTTGCACGAAGGCCGCGGCGCACAAACGGCCGTCTACTGTCTTTCTGTGGAGTTGGCGAAACTCCGTGAGACTCTAAAAAGAATTATTATTCAAGTTTCGCGGAAGTTTCTCCGAGATCGCGCAGACCTGCAGCGCTTTCCTGTCGTAGCCGGCTTCTTGCGCCCGGCTGCCTTTCGTGCGGAAAGCGCCCAGAAACAAACTGATAAGCAAAACTTTGAGACTCATTCTGTTTGGAGTTCAACAAAAATGCAAATAAAAACAAAATAAATGAAAGTTCAGCGGCGTTTCAGACGCCTGCGCCTGCCGGCGCGCGAAACGTGAACGGAGGTGCCTGTACACCTGAAACTGCGGCGCACGCGGCACTCTAAGAAAGCGCTTTTGAATGCAAATTTTCCATTAAATCTACGCGTCTTCTTCGTCATCGAAGTCATCAATTTCGTTCATTTCGTTCATGGCGTTCATGACGGTTTGGCCGAGTTCAATTTCCTCTTTCGAGAGGTGTTCCGTGGCAGTTTCAAAATCTTTCTTCCCGACCTCTTCCGTGCTGGCCAGCTCTTTCGCCTTTTTGTTCTGCTCGATCTTTTCCCTTATTAATTGCACTATTGCCTTGTCAGTTCTTCTCGAAAGAATTGTTATCTTTCGTTCCACATCGCGTTTCAAGTCCCAGTTCGGCCGCCGCGGCACCACTTGCGACAGAATGTCCTGCAGCACGCCGCCGCGCGGGAAATAAAACTCAAATAGGTCTTCAAAGGCACTTTAAAACTATTTCAAAAGTATTTCAGAAGTATTTTAGAAACATTTTAAAAGAAGCAAAAGCTCCGCAAGCCGTGTCAGTGCAGCGCAGTCAGCTCCCCTGCCCCTGCGCGACTCAAGAAGCCGCAGCAGCAGCGGCAGCAGCAGCAGCAGCAGAATGCCGTTTTCGCCCGCGTTTTCGCAGCAGCCAGCCTGAAGTACCGTCCGGGGTGGCAGCAGCAGCAGCAGCAGCAGCAGCAGTTTCTCACCTCCTCCTTGGCAGCTTGGACTGCTTCCTGGGCCTCTTTGGCTATTTGCTTCTCCAACTCCTCCACTGAAGGCCGCGGCAAACAAAACTGCCGCAGCTTCGGGTCCTTCGGGACATAATTTCGAAAGCGAATTTCCGGCGAGGCTTCTCTGGGGCGGCCCGCGTCCCCGGCCTCCGCCTCGCTCCCCATAGCAGCAGCAGCAGCAGCAGCAGCAGCAGCAGCAGCAGCAGCAGCGGCGGCGGCGGCGGCGGCGGGGAGGAGGAGGCGCGAAAACTGCTGGAGACGTTATGCTGCTGCTCCGCTCTGCTGCGCTGCAGCAACAGAGGCCATTTCCGGGCGCCGCAGCAGCAGCAGCAGCAGCGACCTGCGCGCGGCAGCAGCAAGCCGCAGCAAAGCAGTTGTTGCAGCAAGCAGCAGCAAAAAGAAAACCCTCAAGTTTCTTTATTCTTTATTTCTTTTATTTGGCCTGCAGCAAAAGAACTGCAGCCCTGACAGCCCCAAGCTGCTGCATGCAAAACAACTCAGGGGGCTGCAGCGCAGCGCAGCAGCAGCCGCAGCAGCAAAAATTAAAAAAAGGAATTAAAGTTTTAATTTATTTCACTATTTCTTTTGCCTCCAGATATTCCCTCTTCAAGTGTACAGACAGCTCAAGCAGCGGAGGGCGCGTCAGTCTGCAGCCGCCAAAGGCAGCAGCAGCAGCAGCAACAGCAGCAGCAGGAACTGCAGCAGCAGCAGCAGCAAGGACAACGGCAGCTGCAGCATCGGCAGAAGCTGCACACGAACAGCAGCAGCAGCGTAGCAACACGAGCAGCAGCAGCAGCAACTGCTGCAAACGAAAAACAGCAGCAGCAACAGCAGCAGCAGCAGCAACAGCAGCAGCAGCAGCAGCAGCAAATTGTGAAGATGGTGCGACTGCTGCTGCGCATGAAGGCGGACCTGGAGAACGTGGAGGCAATTGAGTTCCCGGCGGACTACACCTGGAACATCGACGGTGGGTCTTTTCTTTCTCGAACTGAATCATTTTCCACTTTTTTTAATTTTTTGAATTTAAAATAAGTGAAATTAATAAAATTAATAAAATTAATAAATAAATCTCAAAAATAATTCAAACTGACGCAAAATTGCCCCCAGTCACCTCCAGCAGCCCGCTGCAGCAAACCCGGCCTCCCGCGCCAGGTGTCTGTACACCTCAGGGGGCCCCATCTGCAGCAGCAGCTTTTTCTTCTTTTTAAAACCCCACACTTCTCACAGGCCCTCGAGACTGCCACAGGGGCCCCACACTCTTCAGGGGCCCCCCTTGGGGCCCCAAGGGGCCCCAAGGGGTTTTAAGGGGCCCCTAGGGATCCTAGGGGGCCTCAAGGGGCCCCAAGGGGTTTTAAGGAGCCTCAAGGGGGCCCCAAGGGCCTCCCCAAGTCTCTGGAGGCCCCGACGGGTCTTAGGGGTCCCCAAGGGTGCTGGGGGCCCCCAGGGGGGCCCCCAGTACCCGGGGGGCCCCCCGGGGGCCCCCGGGGGCCCCCTGGGGTACCCAGGACCCAGTTTGTGGGTGTGAGGCTTTTTGTTTGCGCAGTGACGCAGGCGGGAGGGACAGAAGAAAAGAAAGGAGTGACTCTTTCTGCTGCAGAAGTTTTGGAGATTCCTGGCAGCCGCGGGTAGCAGCAAATAAGGGTTTTGGTTTATTTGGTTTGCTGCTGCTGCTGCTTGAACTGGGCTTTTAAAGTTCTCTTTTGCTGCTCCCCGGTGGCCGGGACGCTCCTGCTGCTGCTGCTGCTGCTGCTGCTGCTGCTGCTGCAGGACAGCCAACTTGGTCATTCGTTTCGGCGGCAGCAAACATGCGGCGACAATCAACGTAGAACATGTGAGGGTTTAGGGTTTAGGGTTTAGGGTTTAGGGTTTAGGGTTTGAGGCCTGTAGAGAGACTATCTGCTGCACGCGAGCAAGGAGTATCCCCTGGCTGCTCTTCTCCGACCCTCTTCATCTGCTTCATTTGCCTCTTGCTGCTGCTGCTGGTCTCTGCTGCTGCTGCTGCTGCTGCTCGCTGCTGCTGCTGCTGCTGCTGCAGGTTAAGGGAGTTACGAGGCCCTACACAGCAGCAGACAGCGGACAGTTCGTGCCCATCATCTCTTTCGAATGCCGCGGGTCAGCTTTCTGCTGCAGCAGCAGCGCAGCAGCAGCAGCAGCGCAGCAGCAGCAGCGCAGCAGCAGCAGCTCAATCTTCTGCTGATTTCTAAGTCTTAAAGATTTGAAGTTCAAAAGAAATGAAACAAACTGGCGTTTCAGTTTGCTGCTGCTGCTGCTGCTGCGGTGTACGTACAGCGTGGAGCCCACCCGCTGGACCCCCACAACTGGCTGCGCCATAAAAGGCCCCAAAAGTGTTTTTGAAGAAGCAGACATTGCTGAGGACTGGGCGGACTTTGACGAGGTATTTGCTTCCAGACTGCAGCAGCAGCAGCAGCAGCAGCACAGCAGCAGCAGCAGCAGCAGCACAGCAGCAGCAGCTGCACAACGTGTGTGTACGCTTCGCAGGCCGCAAACCAAAGCGTCGGCGTCTACGGACTCGAATTCGATTTCGTCGTGCACAAAAACTGAGGCCACAGCACCTCAATTAGGGGCCCCCAGGGGGCCCCCTGGGGGCCCCCAGGGGGCCCCGGGGGGCCCCCTTGGGGCCCCCCAGAGGCCCGAGGGGCCCCCCTAGAGGAGGCCCTAGGGGGGCCCCTAGAGAGGGCCTAAGGGGCACCCCAGGGGCCAGGGGGCCCCGGGGGGACCCCAGGGGGGCCCCAGGGGGCCCCAGGGGGGCCCCAGGGGCTCCCAAGGGGGCCCCTTTTGTTTGGATAGGTTTTACAGAGGAGGCCCTGGAAACGGGGGGAGATGTATAGAGCTTTGGCGGGAGGGCTACAGCAGCTGCGGCAGCCACTGGTAGCAGCAGCAGGCTAGCAGAAGCAGTAGCAGCTGCTGCTGTTGCAGCTGCTGCAGCTGCAGCTGCTGCAGCTGCTGCTGCTGCAGCTGCTGCTGCAGGTAGCGATTGGGCAGTAGGGGCCCTCTAAGTATTTACAGATGCAGCAAGCCCGCTGCAGGAAGAAACAGTGGGGGCCCCCATTACCGTTGGGGGGCTCCGATTGCTGCTGGGGGCCCCCATTGGTGTTGGGGGGCCCCCTCTGTTTGCGGAGTCGCAGGCTGGGCTCGAGACCTGCGGCCTTTATTTTATCTTGAGACAACTTGCTGCTGCATGCGTTTTAAATTTTATTTATTAATTAATTTACTATTAATTTATTTATTAAAAGTTAAGCTGCTTCTTAAGCAGCTGCTGCACCCCGAGACTCGCCAGCCCTCTTCACTGGGCAGGCAGCCCGTGCGGTGCTGCAGCAGCAGCAGCAGCAGCAGCGAAGTCTTGAAGAGCAGCAGCTGCTTCTGGTTTGCAGTTTTTAACGCGGTTTTAAGGAAGGGCCTAAGATGCCTGAACTGCCACGTGCTGCTACTGCTGCTGCTGCTGCTGCTGCTTGGGAGAGGTTTCGAGTGGCGGGCGCGTGAGACACAAGAGCAGCAGGAAAATAAATTGTTAGATTTGATTTAATTCTGAAGATCAACTAATTAAAAGTATAAAAGATCATTAGCAGCTCCAGGATTGGGGCTGTCTCGGCGTGACCAGCAGCTGCGCTGCTGCTGCTGCGGTTGCTGGAGCGGCAGCAGCAGCAGCTGCAGCAGCAGCAGCTGCTGCTGCTGGTGAATTCAAGCATGAATTTAACTCGGATTCATTTTGTAGATCACTTTGGCTATTCATTGACGGGAGGGAGACCTGCTGTGCTGCGCCGTATGTACACTGGACGCTGCAGCAGCAGCAACGACGCGCTGTCTTCAGCAGCAGCAGCAGCAGCAGCAGCAGCTGAGTCAGCGACTGACTGCCACAGGAAGCTGATTTTTGGGGAGTGACCCTCGCAGTCCCGAAGCAGCCACAAGCAGCCTCAACCCTCGGCCCTAGCCGCCAAACCCTCAGCGCCAAACCCTAAACCCTAATCTGCTGCAGGAGGTAGGGCTGCAGCAGCAGGGCGTTGGCTTGCTGCTTCGGACTTCTCCGTTGCCCGCAGCAGCAGCAGCAGCGCCCGCGCGAGCCGCAGCCCTGACCAGCAGCAGCAGCAGCAGCAGCAGCAGCAGAAGATGTCTGCGAAGAGCTCGGGAGGCAGCATGTCTCTGTCTTCGTCTCTGGCTGCTCACCAGGCGTGTTCGTTCTTC